AACTACATTCTATACAAATTAAAACGTTTACTTTTTACAGATTTGGGGAGAGGAAATACGTATTCCTTGTTAAAACAAATAAAATGAATTTAAAAAATTACACTGGCAAAAACTTCAATATCGATTTCATCAAAAATTTACACATTTAATTTCTGTTTATATATACACTCGTACATAAATATGTAGCTTGTAGTGGATAGCATAATACAATTTCAGCGTCCCGATTCCAAATCAATCAGTAAACACTTTAGCTATTTTGCAATTTACAATTTTCTATTCTGAAAACCTACATATATGTATATTCATTATTGCAAATACATATTTGAGTACAAACTTACATACATTTATTAATTTTCAAATACGTTTAATGGATGTGATTGCTGAATGCAATGGCAATTCAACATTAATTGTAAACTAATTAATTGCCATTAAACGGACACCCGCAACCACAACCCACAGACGTGATCCACTCAAGCAGACAACAAAGGGCGTGACAAAATAAACCAAAATGAATCGATCAGAAAAAAGAAATGTAAATTTTGAAAAACAATAGCTTCAACAGAAAGGCAATTCACACAGAGTCGACCACGACCGTTGGACATTTCAATTCAATTTTGCGCTTTGCCGACATTACACCTTTCTATTTCGCAGCTACCACAAATGCGCCTAATTGACGCCAAATTGACGGAAGCGATGCGTTGCGCTGCTATCAAAAACAACAACAATGGCAATTGCAATTGTACTCTCTCACGCTCTTTATAAGGCGGGTTCTTGCGGTTCTCTTTGATACGCATTTGCCTATTTACATACATTTGTATAAAAAGTTGTATATATATGTATGTAGAATGTATATCGTTACGCTGCATATCGATAAGAAGCATCCCATGCAAAACAAAAACAAGAATTGTGACATAAACATAGGCGCGCAACATGTGACTTGTTGTCCTAGATTTTACGCCGGAAATTACTCAACACAAATGCAATGCGCATCTGTAACTCAAATAAGCTTGAGTGAGGGGATGCAGTGAGCTTTTGATTCGAGTGAGTTCAATGGCGCTTTTGCTCTTGTGAAAATGTGCTTTTGCGAGTAGGGAAGCTAAAACAGCTTTTCGCATTGGAGTGGTAAAGGTTTGCGGTGATGCTTAAAAAAGTATTGTCCAACTTAATGAAAATGGGGATATATATGCAAAGCTTTTTATCTCCAAACTTGGAAGGTTATTCCCCATACTGCAGTTGGCTTACTCTGCAAATAGAGCTTGCTTAAATTGCTTTTTGGCAATATTGAGCATTTATGTCGAGCTTATATGAAAGTCAGCGATGGGTAGAGAGAGCTTTTAGTTTGCACGCGTTTATACCACATATATATAAAGCTTAAAAGAGCTTTTCCCGCGCGCAAGACAGTGCCCATCAGTGATGTAAGTTAACAAAATGTTAAAGAAAAATAGAGACAATCTGTTAGATAAAATAAAGCAAAGAAGAATTGGTTCGCCGCTTTTGGCACCCCCCTTTATAACCAACAAAAGCTTGGGGTACAAAAGTTTGGGTAAAACAAACTGTTTCCAAATATACTCCGTTATTTTAAAGAAGTATTTTTTAAAACTACAAGTTAAAGTTGTTTATTCTATATAGCTCTATAACTCAAAAGCTAATACTTTATGTGCTTACATACATACATACTATAGAAATGTCATTAAAAATAAATATACATCGAAACAAGTTGACCAGTTTCAAACCCAGATGTCTTAATTTTCAGCGAAATATAATTTTTATGTAAGACACATACAAAATTTCTGCCAGTGTTGGCTTGAGAGAGCTTTTTTCCTGTGTAAAGAAATTGTATAGAAAAAAGCTCCGCACGGTTTTAATTTATAATTTTTTGATTTTATAGGAAAACCGCTAGCTGTGATATAAACCGTCTGAGTGCGTTTTGTAAATTATTTAGGTAGCAGAGTGATTTAACAAAGCTTCAAGCTTAAACTTTGCAAAGCTTACGTAATTCATTCAAAGTTGAATAGGTATTGAATTACTAAAAAGTCTCGGGTTTAAAACTTTTATCAATTTTCTGGTTTTAGAATAACTGCGGGCGGTTTTATAGGTTCTAGTCATTAGCAAAAATCACACACCCATTTCAAGAACCAACCAGTTTCTCACCTCGGTTATTAAGGCAAAACTTTTGCACATTCCAAGCCAGTAAGAGCTGCCACTTTGATGGAATTTTAAATTAATCGTTCTTTTCCAGAACTGGTGTTTACAGGTAAAAGTTGGAGCTTAATATTAATGGCGTATTGCGATTGGCTTTCCCCGTGGTCGTCAGTATACAAAGGAGTCTTACAGCATCCATACATGGATATACTTTTTACAGTTACAAGAAAATTTAAATTGCGCCAGATAGGCATAAAGCAATTACAAAGCTAGATGCACTTAAAACTTCCATCAAGCTCTGAGTCTAGCCGCAGTAGCCATATCCGGTTGCAGATGAGGGGCTGGAATTTTTGACAACATATTGGCTGAATAATTCGCTTACGTATATGAATCCTCCCGGAACCTATTTATTATTGATTTACTATGACAAAAAGTCTTTGTAAAATTTTACTGATGGAATGTTGATGAAATAAAATAATAGTCGTGCGGCCAAAGTTAATGGAAAGCAATTAGCTTATTTACTCGTTATAGAGGAGATTTCGCTAGAGGGCGATGCGTCGCGACGCGTTGCTTCTCTTCTTAACCTCAACAAAAATACTGTACTGACGGTATATCTTGAAAACCCCCGTACTCTTGGACAAAACGGTGCAAAAATCTAAAAATTAGCTGAGAATGTATTCGTCATTTCATTAAAAAATTTCAGAGCACTCTCTCATTAATTTGAGAGTTCATCACTGGAATTAAACTTTTTACTTTTTTTGTGAAAGTTTAGTTAAAGCTGTTATAATACCCTCATAAATATCGTAATTCATGAATCGAAGAATCAAAGAATTTCCAATGATAAGCTTTGTAGCTTCTTGGCTTTACGCATAGTGTTAATTTTATGTACTCTTTACTAATTACCCGCCAATGTATCGAATACCGAAATTTTATGGTAAAATGTGCATTAACCCGCAAAGCGATGGGTAAGTTATCGTAAAAAGTGTCGACAGGTACCAAGATATTCACTAAAATTTCTTAAATATCTTTAAAAACTTATTTTTTCCATGAGTAGCAATATATGAAAATATGTATATCGCTTAATTTATTAAAACTAATTAGAAACTGTTGTCTACAATTGAACCGAAGTTAGAATAAGCACGAAGAAAATTACGACATTGGGGCTTAATATACCCAAGCTATATGTATGCCGGGTTAAATATTTTCTTACAGCTAACCTCTGCCAGCTTTTCCCCATACTGTCGAAGCTTTCAGAGTTGCCTTTGTTTTGTTTTCAAAGTGTACATCCACCACCGTTGGCTGGTGAGTTTCTTATGAATTATTATTTTAAATATATATATGTATTGTATGTATAAATTTTATAAAAAATTATCTTGTATAAGCAAATAGATATGTATTTAGTATAGTTTAGTTATTTGATAAGAGCTTACAGACTAAATTTGTGTACTTACAGTTATTTTGCATGTCTAATTTGGTTTGGTAGTTTGTATTTTTTGTTCGTACGGTCTAAGTTCGAGAATATACACAAAACAAATCAAAACAACAAACATGAAATTAGATTCTTAAAGATACATTGATAGGAATTTTGTGTGTTTTTTTTGTTTACTTGTAAATCTAATTTAACAGTAGAAGTGGGAGCGGGATTAGATGGGGAGTGATTAGGTTGAATAGAGTGCAATTAAGCAGATTTGGGTTTGTTTCGTTTTTACAAATGTTTTGACTTTGAAATGGAAAAAGGATTTAGAGTTAGCTAAAACGGTGTTCACATGAGGCGATTTTCCAGGCAATTTCAGAGGCCATTAGTTGAAACAAAAATTAGCTACAGCCCAACTTCATTGGAAGCGCTTAGTTGAAAGGTCGTTCACACCAGGCGATTGTTGCTTTCAACTAAAACTTGCCTGTAAAATCGCTTCGTGTGAACACCGTATAAGAGTAATGTGTAGTTGAAGAACATTAGTAAGAACGTTTGAATATGGAAATTGAAAACAAAAATAATAGGGTTATTCTCAGAGTCTTGCGAAGAACCGGTTTTTCTATTTAAAGCTTTCCAATGCATCGTCCAAAGGCTTTGCAAGACTAAGAGAACCACCCTAATGTTTAGCTACTTAAAAAGCATGAAAAGTAAGGGACAGTTTTAACAACCATATCTGAGCAGAAAGGAATAGATCAAACGACTAAACGACTTCATACAAATTCAAACAAATAAACAATGACAAATTGAACGCAACAAAACGTGTAAATCATCTTTCGGTGCAGATCGTTATGAAATGTTTCTTTTTTCCGCACTGATATATATATAAAACGAGCATGGAGTTTTTCGCATCATTTGGATGGATTTGTGAATGAGTTAAAATATTTATTTATTATTTATTGGTTCAATGCTGACTGATCGTTAACGAAAGTGTACGGCCCACGTCAGCGACTGACATATTGGTTGGATATGCATTTTTTTTTTTAATACTTCAACTCTCGCCAATTGCCAATAGCAGAGGTGGGAGAATTTTTAAGAGCTATTATTTCTTTATTTTAATTTTTTTATATTTTGGTTTCAAGTACTCACTACGTACTTGGCTCGAATGCGTAAGATCTCTACATAATAATTTTTTCTTCTTTGTTTTTTTTTTTTTGTTTTGGTTTTGTAATATACATTTAAAATTGAGTATAATATAATTCAAAGTTAAAGAAACAAAGCCAACACAGGGGTAGCACAGTAGAAGAGAAGAGCGCATAAGACGTTCATTTACACATACATATATAAAAGAGTCATAAGAATTATAACGGAGTCAAAAAAAATTTAAAATTGTTTCACAAAAAAAAATTTTGTATGTCAAAACTTTGCACTAAAACTTCGCACTTACCCATGTCATCGATGATGGGCGCCATGCGCAGCGTCACGCCCACCAACATGAGGCACATGATTAGCAGCAGGCACGCTGTTACAATGATTGTCCAGCGCGCCCGCTGCGACAGGTCATCGGGATCGACCACCTTTTGGCGACGACAAAACAAAGTCCAACGAGCAACGGCGGGTGGGTATAAGCAGATGTGGAATAAAAGGAAGAATGCAAGAAAAAGTATTTTTTATTAATAGCTACGTGTATGTATGTATGTATTTGTGATAGTACCTTGACGACACGCGTTTCCAGATCCTGCACAAGAATTTTTGGTTTTTTATGACGATGTCGCTTTTTGTGTCGATGATGACTGCAAAGAAAAAATTTTATTATTGCAAAACTTGTAAAATATTTGCACAGCGAAATTTGATTACTTTAATATACACAAGAGAATTGGTAGAGCTTCCACATATCGCACACATATTTGAAAAGAGGCAGAATTAAAAAAAAATTATGCCAATTTTTTGCATAAATCAAACGTAGGATTTATCTCAAATTAATGCAAAATATTTTTTTCTTCATGGTTAAAATATTTCAAACAAGAAAATTACTGTTATATAAAGATATTTTTGCTATAATTCGAGATACTATCCCCAAAAAGAATCAGAGTGTACATTAGGCCTTGGGCTGTAGTTAATAACGGCGCTAGGTGTGCACTGTGTGGAGGAGCGCGCGAAGCGGGTAGCTTTAAATGCACACCTGCAGCGTGCAGGCACGATATACACAGTGGATCGTCAATGATGCCTATAGTTACCATATATCATCCTCATAGATTGCGCCTTGTAGTTAGTCGAGAGAGAGTGTATGGATCTCACTATTGCTTCTTTGTACGAAAGCTAATGACGTACTTTCTTCCAAAAGAGACAACAGTAATTAGTTTGTCATTAGATGCCAAAAAGAAACAGACTGCTCTGAAAACCTTTTAACCAAATGTATGTGCACGGAACTTCAGAAAAGTATTAAGATCCCTTCCTTGTAGCCAGTTTAGCATAGGAACCTTTTATAACCATGGTCATAGTCCACCAGAAATTGCTGATGATAGTTCACGAACAGCATCTGTGTTAGTTTTGATGTAAACGAAGTCTTGCATTTCTGCTAATAGTGAGTCCATTACCAAACGCCACAAGAGAGAGGAGGGTACCCCGCCCTGAGGGCATCCTATCCCATCCTCTATCAAAGACCAGTTCCTCGCCACAGTCAACAATCTTCTAGAATCCACACTGCTCATCCACTCCACGCTTCCTGACCGCATAGCACATAGAGACATGGTTAGCGTTGCCAAACGCCCCCTTAATATCTGAAAATACCCCAGTTGTGTACCTAGCTGTCCACCAAAAGCTTTGATCTGGTTAAAGCTGTTACTTTTGTACCGATTGCAGTTACAGTATAACAGTTTTTCTGTTCCCGAAAACTTTCCTTTGCCACTTTCGTAAATCAAAATAAAATTTGTTCAGCATAAATTGACTCATAGCTTTTTCACCAGTCCTTTAGTCCTCACACCCATAGTATAAAATTGTATTAGCATTGCAGTTTTCATTAAATTACCCATTGAAACCGTGAATAAGCTGAGTTCACATTCGATTGTTGTACGCTCGCATATACGCAAATAATGCCATCGGTTGCGCACGAGCGCACACAACTGCATTCGCCGCCGCCACTGAATGAGTGAGTATTCGCATAAAAAGCGCCTAAGCCAACTTTTCACTTTGGAATTTTCACGAAGTGTGGCAGCGGCATTTTGCATACGCGAGCAGAATAAAAGTTCAAATAAACAAAGCTATGAACAACAGCAACAACGACATTTAAAATTAACATTGCATTTTTTTATGCCAACACAACGTCGAGTCGCACTCAGTTGGGTTTTTGGGTGAGGCAGTCAGCAACCAGCCAGCAGTCGACTCGCAATTCACTGGCAATCGCTCTTCATCAGCAACTTTACGCCCTTGCCCCTCGTTCACTCGTTCACCACGCGCATCCCACAAAGCTCGCCCTCTTGCGCGCCCTTCTTCACTCACACTTGCCAACTCCTTGGCGCACCTTGACCTAAATTTCAGGCGAAGCATAATTAAAGCACAAAACATGCTGGCAGCCTCAACAGCAGTCGACTGCGCTGCCAAAGCCGCCACCACTGCACAAAGCGCTGAATGTAGGCAGCAGGAAAGCAAGCGAGCGAGCGAGCGAGCGCGTGAGAGGCAGCGGTACCGGCATGCAAAGCACTTTTAGATACGCACATTCACACGTACATAAATATGTATGCATGTACCCTGCAGTGAAAAGTTGAACTTAGTAGTATACGCCAAGTCCAGTTCGTGAGCTCTTATTTAAGGATAGAAGTCCCCACCAGTTTGTTATGGAAAGTTGCTCGTTGAAAAAGTAAACTAGGTAGAAATTCTAGAGCTTTGGTCTGTCGGCCATTGCAGGAGCGGAAAACTGACATTTCGTATGGCACGGCCAAGTTAAAACTACCAGTCGCTAACAATGAAAAAGGATAAAACGTTAACTAGTTGAGCTGAAACGCAAATTGGTACCCTTCTAGATTACAACTAGCAGCTTTCCTTGCTGGGTAGTTACAAGTGTACGTATGTATGTATGTATTAGACTCCAGCGCAATTCCATTTAAACGGCCCAACAAGACATCCGATCGCCGCGCAAATACTTTCCATCCCCTACTTTCATCGTTCGGGTCAATTGTGAGTAAGCATAAACCAGTTTCAGCAAGCGTACGTAAACTACCGATCAATAGCAACACGCGTAGAGTATTTACTTTGCCTTCCGCAACTACTGCGAGTAAAAGGTATTT